GGCGTCCCAGCGATGGGTGCTGACCTGCTCCCGCCCTGAGGAGGCTCTGCACCCAGAGCCACCTCTCCAGCACAGCGCAGAGCTGCCGCCTCCGTCCTCCCACCTCCATTTTCTTGCGTCTCCAGACAAAGTGACCGTTTATCCGCTTGGATTTCAAGCTGTGTGCACAGCCCCGCGCTCACCCCTTCGGCTGGACACGGGGAGGAAGAGGAATGCGACCAGGCAGGTTTGTGCAAACACAGGCACTGCGTGGTCCCCCTCGGTCTTTAGTCTGGTAAGCAAAATCAGCATCTAATCCAGATCAAACAGGACTTTAGCTCCTGTCAAAGGACTGATCCCCTATTCTGCCCAGGCTGTGGTATTTAAAGGGACATGGCCAGGTTAAGTACAGCTGGAAACAAAGGGGTTTGTGAAAAATCATCATCATAAAAACAACAACAACAAAAGCTGGGAAAGATTAGCGGGAGGAGAGACTATAATGAAATATAACTGCCAAAGAAAACTGTGGTTAATGGAGACATCTCCCTGGAGCATTTGAGACCTCAGGTAGTGGAGGAGGAAAGGAATAAGTGAAACCACTCAGAAACCAGCTGCAAAACAAACCAGGCTGTTCCTGGATCAGGGCAAGATCTGCCTTTCCTTTCTCCTCTCTCCTCTCCCAAATACCCCCATGAAGGAACTGGATGCAATAATGGACAATTTGTTTATTTGACTGCCAGCCTGCACTGGGAGCGCTCCCAGGCTGCTCTGGGTGCTAGGGGGCACATCCCCCTGGAGCACCAGGATGCCTCCTCAGGCTGGCACAGCCCTGTGCCGCAGCCCTGGATAGGATTTAGCCACCCGACTTCTCCTGACCTTAATAACTGGCGCTGACTTAACTGGGAGTCTGGTGGCTAAATCCCGCATGAGTCTGGAAGTGTAGGAGTCAGTGTCACAAGTAATTTATTCCACGCATCTCTCAGCCTCCTAAACTTGGGGAAGCCAGTTCTTAACACACATCCCACTGCTGCCACAGCCCTGGCTGAGCAGATCTGCAGCAGCCTCTCATTACACCCAGTTTTCTCCTCTTCCCCTTTCCCTCTCCATGGCTGGCTTGCTCAGGCTGGAGAGCAAGGCCCTGCTCAGGCCTCTCTCCCAGCCCAGGAATAGGCACCTTATAGACCTGGGCAAAGCCTCTGCTGCCCACAGCCCCATGGAGCATTCCTTCTGGTCATGGACAAGTCCCACCTCTGAAGTGGGAGAAGACACCCCCAAGCCTATGGCTGGAATAGGTACAACTCCTGCCAGAAAGGTCTGGCTCACATGTGGATGCTTGCACAGGGATTCTGCATCCCAGGGATCTCAGTCCTGCTCTGTGGATGCCAACAGTCCAGTGCAGCTCTTCTGCCTCATCCCAAATCGCTGCTTGGGTGTGTTGAGTTTGGAAAACCAGAGGAAACTCTCCAGCTGAGCTCTGTGGTGCTGGAGCTGAGTGAGCGCAGGGTGGAATGCCCATGGAAAGGGAGCCAAGGGTGAGGAGGGCCAGGTGGTCCTGCTCCACTGGATACACAGAAGCCTTTCCTGGGGTTTCTGGCCCCTTTCAGAGCCAAAGTGCTGGAGGCAGGAGGGGACCTCCCAAGACACAGCCCCCTCAGGGACAGGAGTGTCCAGCCCTGGCACCCTCTCACTGCCTGGGGGTGCAGCCACTCTGTCCTCAGAGCCGTTGGATTTCTCACATCCACAGCCCCGACGCTGCTCCCCAACGTGACCAAACCCAGTGGCCTGGATCTCTCCCAGGCATGACCACATGTGGGCTACTCCCTCTCCTTCAGCATCTGCTCAAACAGACACTGCCAGCAACCTCTGCCGTGCCACGGGGACGCCAAGGGCTGCGGGCTGTGGCACAGGCAGGAAGGCTCTGTGGGCAAGCAAAGGGGTGCAGGCAGCAACTGGCAGGAGCTTCCCAGTGGGCTGGTGGTGGAGGGCTGGGGCTGCAGGGAGGGTTTGTCAGCCAGGCTGGTCTCATCCCTGCTGCCTGCAGAGCAGGACGGACCTCTGTGGCTGGAGAGTTCAAACTGGGTTACAGCCACTGCCACAGTCTGAACATCACATTCGTATTCCAGTCACATTTTTAGGGCATCTCTTCCCTTCTTGGCCGTGGCAGAGTTCTAGGAGGGCAGGGAAAAGAGGGAAATGGACCTAAGCTGCTGTGTCTCTGCTGCTCCAGCTGTCTCTGAGGAGTGTGCTGGGTGTCCTGAGTCATGTCTGGGCCAAGCAGAGCTGAGCTGACACCCAGCGCAATCTGGGTTGGGGCATTTGCTGCCTGGGAGCCTTCTTGTTCCTCCCACAATCAGGTCACAGCCTGTCCCATCTTGGCAAGGTAGGTGCTGTGGGTGCAGGCAGGGGTGGACGTGCCTTTGCTGCCCAGCACAGATGGGTGTCAGCCCAGCAGCAACCACAGGAGGCTGGAGACCTGCCCTGGGGCTTGCCCTCTGCATCCCTCAGGGAGGGCAGGCACAGAGCTGGCACACCTGGCAGAGCCAGCAAGCCCTGCCTGCACCCAGGTGCTCCTGGGCTGGGCACGTGAGACAATTTGGGAATATAGCTTAGAAAACATGGCTGTGCTGGGACATGAGTGCTCTTGAGTTTGTCAGCCTTGTCCTCCTCCTCCTTCAGGGTCCTATGGATGCATTTGGTCTCAGTGAGCCATTGCTTGCTTCACCAGGTAGCCCCTGCCTCCCTCTCCTCCTGCCTCTGGAGCTCTGGTGGGAAATGAATCCCTTCTGATGGTGGAAGGTCCTGGAGGAAGCTGTTCTGTCTGCAGCCCCCATGTGTGACGGGCCATCACCACCTCCATTTGCCCCCAGGTGGGATCCAGGAGGATGCTCCGGTGGTGAGGTGTGAAAAAGTTGAGTTCACACCAGAGTTTGAACTGTCCTGCAGGTGCAGCTTTCAAACCTGGCAGAGGGAGATTAGGGAAAAAAAAAAAAAAGCAAGAAGGAAGAGAAAACACAAACATCCCACCTCCATCTTGCAAAGCCCTTGAGCCACAGCACCAGGACTGGGAGCATCTCATCCCTACGGACCCTGCCTGAGTCCCTTCCCTGCACATCAGCTGCTGGGCTGCCCTCTACTCCTTGGGAGATCCCTGTTTTCCAGAAATTGAGCATATTCTGTGGCATTGCCAGTGTGGAAACTACTCTGCAAACAACCATTTCCAGAGGCTGATAATTCCCCCAAGTGTGTGTGCAGCTCCTTGGGAAATGGAGCAGGGCCCAGCACAGCCACCTCATTCTTGATTCCAGGCAAGGCAATGGGAAAGCTTCGTGGTCCTGCTTGGTGAGCAAAACTGTCTTCTCAGAAATGAGTTTTTGCTTGAATTTTGGAGAGAAAAATGTAGTCTGACTCAGCCACAAAGCATGGAAAATTTCAAGCAGGCAGCTGATCTGTGGCAAAAAGTATCCTTGGGCTGGGAGAATGAGTGGGGTTTGTATTGTTTGGGCTGTTAAATCAAAAACCCAGGGGAAAGAAATCACTTTGGGTCAACCCAAAATGAACTGTTCTAGATATTCTTTCTGAAACACAAAAAAGTGTTGCTTCAACAGCAGGAGGCCCTTGGTTTTACCCACTATTGATATAAATGACTTTTCTAGATGGCAAGTGCAAAGTTGTAAAGTTCCTCTAATACCACAGAAGTCAAAAATAAACACTTTGATTATCCCAAGATAACAGATGTTCCTTGCCCTTTCAGATGGAGCCCAAATTTGCAAATCAGAGACTCATGGAATCACAGAATATCCTCAGTTGGAAGGGACCCACAGGGATCATCGAGTCCAACTCCTGGCCCTGCAAAGGACACCCCAACAATCCCACCAGGTGCCTGAGACTGTTGTCTAAGCACATTTTGAGATCTGCCAGGCTTGGGACCGCAACCACTTCCCTAGGGGAGCCTGTTCAGTGCCTGACTACCCTCTGAGGAAAGAACCTTTTCCTAACATCTAAACTAAACCTCCCCTGACACAGCTTCATGCTGTTCCCTTGGGTCCTACTGCTGGTCACCAGAGAGAAATAATTAGAGTCTCTCTGAAAATAGAGATTTCGGTGGATAAACTGTTAGTGTGAGCAATTCCAGCCTGGCTGGGAAGTTGTGGATGGATCCATGATGGGGTCTGCCCTTCCTGCATCATCACCCAGAGGCTGCTGAGTGCTGATCAGCCTTTACTGTGTGTGCTAGGGGGATGGCTGGCAGTGCAGCCATGGTCCTCTGGCCAGGATATGGGCTCAACCTGCTTGTGCCAGGTAGTTGTCCCTGCTGGCTTTGCCCATGGATCCAGCTCTGGAGCTGAGAAGCGGAGGCAGGATGGGTGGGATGTGCAGCACTGGCTGTGGCTCCACCTGAGGTGAGGGAGGATGCAGGACCCTCTCTAGGAGAATGTCAGGGTATTCAGTTCATGATTTTCCTGTTTGTCCCAGCTGGAATGGGCCTCTCCACCATGACACAGGTCCCAGCAGAGACACCCCATGCCTCTGCATGCCCAGTGCTCCTGCTCCTGGCCAAGGCCACCTCAGAGAAGACAGAACCCTGAGCAAGTCCCCCCCTCAGGATGCCACAAACACCCCTTCTCCTTCTGGAGCACGCTTTTCAGCCCCAAATCTGTGCCAGTTTTGAGAAGGTGTGGTTCTGGGCTCCCATGGAGCTCTCACCCAGGCAGGATCTGGCCCCTCGAGGGTGGGGGGAAATGCTGCCCTCCATCTCCTTGTACTCCTGGCTCAGCTTCACAGGTTGCAGGTGGGGTTTGGTCAGGTGGACCTACTAGTCCTTTTAGAGGTCTCCTCTTGCCCTCCCTTGGGTAGGACCAGAGCACCAGAGCCCCTCGTGGCTGGGACAGCCTCTCACCCCATCCCATCCCATCCCATCCCCTGCTCCGGGGAGCTCCCGCAGCTGCCCTGCTTTGTGCTCTGCTTCCCCGGCCCCGGTTATGCAAGCGGCTTTGGAAGCAAGACAAAATTGCAGCGGGAAGAAATCATTGCACGGCTCTGGTGGGAAAAAGATATTATCCTGCGTCGCCAGCGAGACTGGCCGTCGGCAGGTAGGGCCCGGAGGAGCGCTGCGTGGCAGGATGATCGCTGATAAGAGGCCGGGTCCTGCTCCGGTGGCCTCGGGAGAGGGAAGCGCAGCGCAGCGAAGCTATGGAAACGGCCAGGCCGGGTGCGGGAGCGGTAATTGGGCCACTCGCATCACCGCAGGTACGCCCGGCCCTTTGTGTGCGCCACGCCAGAAAAGAGCGCGGCTGCGGGGGGAAAAAAAAAAAAAAACCGGCCATGGAAAAGTTGCTCCGCTGGAAGCAGCAGCTGCCCCCCGGCCGTGGCCCCCCTTCCCCGGCCCCCCGCTCTGCCTTTGAGTCACCTCGGCGGCGTGACGGCTGCATCCGCCCCGCGCGAAGGTCACGCTTAAAAGCATTGGACATGGCTGGGCGCGGAGGTGGGAGAGGCGCTGCACAAGTCGCATCGCGTTTGAAGGAGTTGCGGCCAGGGCAAAAACCTCCCCAACGTGCCCTTCGAGGAAGGGGGCTCCCACCGCCCTTTCATTATTTGCCAGGAAACGTAAGCCCAGAGGTCCGTGAAATTGTCAGGATGTGTGAAATCAGGCACCGCCGGGCAGCTTCTCCTGCGCGACCATTTTAAATATTTAACGCGTTGATTATACAACGTGTTCGCATTGAAAGCGCCGGTGTGGGCCCCGGACCCGGCGTTTGGGGAGAGGGGGGTGCTTGTGTCTGTGTGTGGTGGGGGGGTATTTGGGATTTGGCCACCCTGCCCTGGGCTCCTGGCAGCCGCCGCAGCGCCGGCGGGGGGGCAGGCGGGGAGGCTGTGCGGGAGGCACTCAGGCGGCGAGCCGCTCCTGCTCGGGAGCCTCCGAGTGACAAACGCGCTCGGGAGCAGGAATTCATTCCTGTAAATATGTTTGCATTATTTATTTTAAGCATTTTTATAAATCATAATAGGAGAGACATCTGCTGTTAAAACTGCAAACTGCATTCATGCCTAGGGCAAGGCGGGAAAGAGGCTTTTCCCCGGGAAAGCTTGGCAAACTTCGGGGAGCACCGCGGATCTGGGGGGAGAATGGGGCGGGGGGAAATGTGCGGGGGCATTTTCCTGGTGGGAATTAAACATGACGACTCCTTCCCGGGGGCTTTATTTAGGTCCTTCCTGCCGCCTCCGCCCCCTCTGGCTTTTGACACCTCTTTATTTTGAAGCTTTATCATGAGGATGGCATCTCCCTCTCGCTTTCCCGATGGCTGGGACTAAAGCACCCCACTCCAATGCGGAGATGCACCAGCGCATGTGGATATCAGTGGGTCTCATCTCCCTCAGGTGCAGCTGAGAGATCCGGAGGGGGATCTGGTACCTCTCGGTGATGGCACAGCACACACAGAACAATCCCTCTCCCTGAGCCCAGTGGCATCTGCAGGTTCCCCGGGGCCGAGAGCTTCTGGAGACGTCCGTGGCTGGTTCTGGGTGAGGGGAGGAAGCTCCGGGTGACTCTGACTCACCGCGGCACAAGATTAATTGCCGGGCGTTGCAGGAGGTTTATCACTGCCACCCGCGGCTGCCGGCTCGCTCTGCCCGGGGAGCCGGGGCGAGGAGGGGCCGCTGGGACCCCTCTCCTCCCGGATCGCCTTGGGTGCCGCGGTGGAGCCGGCGAGGGGGAGGCGATGCTGGGTTATCTCCCCTCCGCACGCCCCGCAGGCAGCCCCATCCATCAGCCCCAGGGTGCAGGGAGTTCTGGATCTGCTCCCTGGACAGGTCACGCCTCCCTCTGCCTCAGGTCCCTGCCCCTCAGGGCAGGCTGTGTTTGAGTTGGGCTCTCCCTGCCACGCTCAGCCCCTGTTTTTGAGCTGTTCTGCTTTGCAGAGAGGCCCCACCATGGGGAGCGAGTGGCAAATCCACTCTCCAGGGCTCATCCAGACTCCCCTTCCATCCTGATGTCCTCGGCCATCCTGTCCCACAGCACTCTGACAAGCTCAGCAACTGTGATGAACAAAATCTTTTGCATAATCAATAATTAATGTCTGGGGTTTCCAAGCAGTTAATTAATCTCCTGGTGAATCGTGAAAAAAATATTTAGGATAATTGTAGGTGTTTTCAAGCCAGGTGAGCAGAGGTTCACACTCAACCCAGGCTCTTGTGCCAACCCCCATCCATCCCTGGAGAGCTTCTTGCTCCAAGTGATGCTGTTCATTGCCAGGGAGTGGACAATATTGATCATAAATATTTGCCTAATGAGATCATATCTGCTTTCCAGCATATGCAGTGAGTGACCTCAAAAGGCCTGGTGTCCTTTGGGTGAGCTCCCAACGAGCTTAATTGTCTATCTGAGTCTTGCAGCTCTGGAGGTGACCTGCACTGGGGTGTGTGGTGGGGTCAGGTCAGTCCCAGCCATGCTGGGAATGCTGGAGGCAGGGAGCAGACCTTTGCTGGGGCACATCAGGGCATCCCACCCCAGTGCTCCCACCTGAAAGCTGGGAAATGCAGCACATAAACAACTTGGGCTCCAGCTTTAGGCCAAGATTTGAGAGGATTTCACTGGTCACTGGTTTCGAATTCAGGGAATATCACAGGCTTCATCCACCCCATCCCCAACAAATTCTGACTCGGGAAACCTCCGCTGGGTTCACTGCAATCTTCAGCAGCAGTTGGGCTTGGATACACCAGCCTCAGGCGAAGGCTTTGACCCAATTTCAAGCAACTTGGAGGGTTGAGAAGTCCTCGAAGCAGCTGTTTCTCTCTGTGCCTTTCAGGGACCCTGTGTGGCTCTGCCCTGCTGTATCCCTGTGAGGTCTGGTAGATCAATCCCAAGGCAGATCCGCAGCCGTGGCTCCTCCCTGGTGACCAGGGCAGGGCTTTGCAGTCCCTGATCAGGTCCCTGACAGACGTGCCTGTGTGCTGGGCGTTGCTCAGGTCCGGGCTTGCTGCAGTCCATTATGTGTGAGCAGGCTGTGAGTTCGCTCTCCCCAGCGCTGGCTCCTCAGCTCGTCCCAGAATAGCCAAGTCACTGACTCGTGGCTCATTTTGAACAATTGCCAAGCAGCTGCAGCTGTCCTTGACTTTATCTCTGCTCCAGTGTGGCTTTGCCCAGCTCCACAAGTTCACACTAGGAGACTCCACTCCCCCTTCCCAGAATAGAAGACACCCAGGGCCCAGCGTCAGCAAGTTTGGCAGCTGTGGGAAGTGTCATCCTTTGAGCAATCAGTAATTAGTCTGGTTGAAAGGCCAGAGTCCTTGTGGCTAATGAGTAGCTTGAGATGAGACCTACAACCTCCTGACCCTCTTAAAGTCTTGCTGGTGGGTTCCCAAGGCTTCCTGGATTGCTCCCACCTTTATGCTGGCTCCCAGATGGCCTTCAGTCATGGAAGCTGGTCCTCTCCAGCAGATCCAAAGCTCATGGCCAGCTCTTGCTTGGTCAGATCTGGTTATCCCCCGTCCCTCCTCGCACTGCCTGCTCTCCACACTGCTCTCAACCACATTTCCATCACACCTTCTATGTCCCCACTCACTTATGGTCTCCAACCTGCCTGTCCACAGCTACAATGCCTAGAACTGCTGTCTCTGTGACCAGGGCTGGCCTCAATCAGTGCTGGTTGAGGAGACATTGTAGGGACACTGTTGTAGGCAGAGGGAAGGTGGCTGATGGTTGTTGACGATGCTGATATCCAGATCTGCTTCTGACGGATGTGTCTCCAGCCCCTCCTAATCCTGCCTTCATCCAGGAAAAAACATAGCTCACCTTCTGGAGAGCTCACCTTGACTACGTGAGCACCGTGTTTTGGGTTTGGCTCATGCTGTGAGGGACTGTGAAATCAGCACAGAACAGATGATTCACCCAGGGGAAGAGGTTGATCAGGCAGCACTTGCTTTTCTGTGCAGGTGTTCTGTGCACTCAGCCACTGGTTCCTCAGGAGCAGCATGGAAAATGAAGGCATGGTGGGATTAAGGGATTTACCTGAGACCTCTCAAGCCTCCTTTTCCCTTGTTTTACCTGCTAAATATCTCTGCTTCCTTAGAGAAAGTTGAACTCTGGCTGACAGTGGCTTTTTTTCCTTCAGAGGTGTTCCAGGATGGGAATGTTCACAGTCGTGTGTTATCCAGTGTCAGCAGAGGGATGGGAACACCTTGGACTGAGGTAAGTCAGCTGATTTATCATTCCTGATTCTTAAAGCAGATCAGAGTATGATGGGATGGGATCTTCTCAGCTGCCTTCACTTTTAGTGGGATTGGAAAGAAGAGGCTCAATAGAGTTTGAAGTAGTTCTCTTTTTTTTTTTTTCTTCCTTTTAATCCTTTTTTTTCCTCCTTTCTTTTTTCTCTTCTTTCTGAAGGCAGCTCTTCACCTTTTCAAAGCGGCAAGAGCAGCTGCAGTGGGAGATTTATCCTTGAGAAGGGGAGGATGCAGGGGGATCCTACAAGGAGGTTATTGAGAAGACAGCCAAACTCTTCAGAGTGGTGAGAGGAAGAGAGACAACAGGTATTAGGTAAGTTAAGAGAAGTTCAGACTGATGGTAAAGACACACTTTTTTCCATGAAGGCAGCCAAGCATGAGCAGCTTGCCCAGAGAAGCTGTGCCATCTCCGTCCTCTGAGGTTTTCAAGCCCCCACTGGACAATGAGATCTTACATTGGACCTTGCTTTGAGCAGAAGGTTGAACAAGAGGCCTGCTGGGGTCCCCTCTGACCTCAAGTATTCTGTCACACTATGGTGAGGTCAGCATGGGTGGGCTCAGAGGAAAGGCAGTGCTGCAGGAGTGCTCCACCTTCTCACACAGTGAACTCCAACAAGCAGCTTCAGGGTTCCTGAAGGCTGAAAGGAGGTAGCTGGGCCAGGCTAAGGCCATGGATCACCAGAACTGGCTTCACAGAAACATATAATAAAATTCTAGAATAATTTAGAGTGGAGGGGACCTTATAGACCATCTTGTTCCACTACCCTGCCATGGGCAGGGACACCTTCCACTATCCCAGGTTGCTCCAAGCCCTGTCCAACCTGGCCTTGGACACTTCCAGGGCTGGGGCAGCCACAGCTTCTCTGGGCAACCTGTGCCAGGGCCTCCCCACCCTCACTTCCTCTGTTGTGATTTTTGGAGTTGCTTTTTAGTCAGGCTTTTTCACAGCAATGCCGGTGGAGTCGTGGGGGCAGTGAACACGCAGCAGCACGAGGAGGAGGTCAGGGAGAGGAAGGCTTGACCAACAGCTGCTGCAGGAACTGGCACACCAGGACACTGGCCTGGAAAGCAACGGGTCCTAGAAGGATTGTGTGTTCTTTGGGATTCCTTGCTGGATCACTGAAATCTGATCCAGGATAGCAGGGCTTGAATTAAATCACAGCCCATATAGAAACAGCAGGGCATGGAGAGAAAGGGCTCCTAACTCCTCTGGGAAGGAGGAGAGTCATAGGGACTCTTCCACCTTTGCACAAATGTCACAGAATCATAGAATCACAGGATGGACTGGGTTGGAAGGCACCTTAAAGATCATCTTGTTCCACCCCTGCCATGGGCAGGGACACCTTCCACTGGGCCAGATTGCCCTGAGCTCCTCCTCTTCTGCACTAAGACATGGGGTTTGATAGAGCCCATACCCCATCCATGACATCACCTGGGCACGTGTCCCATCCCAGGACAGTCCCAGGTGTCCGAGTGAAGCAGAAGGAGAATCACAAGGTCTGGCAGCTGCCTGGCTGTGCCTGAGCCAGAGGGACCCAGTGGGATGCAGAGAGATGCACTCAGTGCCATCCCTGCTGTGCTGCAGGACAGTCTGGAGCACTGTGGCCTCGGGGGACCACGGGAGGCTGCAGTGCTTGAGTCAGTGCCTCTGAGCTCAGGCTCTCCTCAAAATCCTGGGGAGCAGAGTGGCTGGGAGGGCTGGGGGTGCGATGCTCAGCACAGCCGCGGTTCCTCCCTCCGTGTTTGCTGTGACCTCCTTGCGAGGCAGCTTTTGGCGCTGAGTTTCGCATCCTCTCCGGATCTGCTGGCTGTGGCAAAACAAAACTGGCTCTGCACAAGCTCCCAGGCTGCACATGCACTTCACTGCTGAGGAGATGGAGAGGGCTAAAATTCCAGTGTGCTGGTTGTTCACGGGGCAGGCCCCTGTCAGCAAGGCAAACCTCACCTGGGGGGTGCTCAGGGTTCCTTCAGACTCACTCAGCACCCCAATTCCAGCTCAGCTTCCCCCTTCCAGCTCAGCTCCCCTCCGGGATGTGCTCTGCTTTGAGTGGGGAGTGCTGCTTCTTTAGCAACTCGACGTCCAGAAAAACCTGCAGTCACGCAACTATATATAGCCCGAGAGAGGCCGTGAATATGGTGACGCAGTCTGGAAGTGCTTCCTGGCTGTTCTCCAGCAGCTGGGAGCAAGGCACATGGCTCTGGCTTTTTAGGGGCAGTGGTGTGCAGGGAAGGTGGGGGCTTGGCAGCACAGTGGGCTCAAGGGGGGAATTCATCTTCTTGTGGCCCCGAGTGCAGGCTGGTGGGGTGCAGGCTGGTGGGGTGAGCCAGCAGATGTGGTGTTGGGGCTCAGAAGTGGTTTCAGTGGGACAGAGACCTGATCCAGGATCCACTCAGCTGAAGCTTCCTAGTAGATGGGATTTGGGGAAGTCCTGATCTGGAGACTCCTGACATTTCACACTGTATGGCTGGGGATCCCCTTTAGACCCAAAACAGGGGTGAGGGCTCTTAGTGCTAGCACTTCTGGGAGGTCACAGGACTGGCTCTGGTCTCACCCCCTGGTTTCTTTCAGTCTGAGGACTGTAGGGTCCCCTGGGCTGGCAGACCTTGTCAGAAGGGATGCACAAACCATCACCAACATTCGTGGCTCCACCAGGGCCAAACCAGGAGGAGCAGAGCAGAGCAAGGAGCCAGGTAACCTCAGCCCCCATCCCTCCACCCTGCACACTGCTCAGAGGGCAGGGAACAAACTGGTGGAGACCTTGGACTGGACATCACGCTCAGCCAGGGAGGCGAAGCTGCCCAGGGAGGCAGAGCTGGCTCAGGCTGGTTGCTGGGATGGAGTCACTGGGGACTGACACCTTGCTGGGTGCCACACTCATCCTGAAATGCTGGGGTGGTCAGGCTTGGTCACCTCTGCCTCTCTGGCAGCTGCTGGGAACATGCCCAGGCAGGACCATGGCACTGTGTGCCCTTCCTCTTATCCACAGGAGAGCTCTCTGAAGAGGAAACGGGGCACAGGAAGGGACATCTCCAAACCAGTCCTTGTCACGTCCCTGCTCCAGAGACTGGACTCCACACTGGAGGGGATCTCTGTGCCAGCAGCTCCTGCACTGACCTCCTTCCTCGCTCAGCCAGATGCTGCTGCCCCCTGAGCCCCGGGAGCTCCCAGGGCTGGGCATGGCATGTGGGATGGGGTGGTCTGCTGGCTGGTGGGAGCTGCAGGGCTTTGTCTGTGGCCCTGCTCATGACCCAGAGCCGTGCTTGGTGCCTGGCTGTCTAGTGGGAACCTCAGATGCTCTTTCCAAGCCAAATTGTAGGTTGGCTTGACAGTATTCCACTTGCCCAACTTCTGTCTGCTCCTTCAAACCTTTTGGGGTATGCCTGGGGGTGCTCACCATGGTCAGGCCCTCAGTGTGCACCCCAAAGAGGGAAATCTGGCCCTAAGCCCTGCTGCAACCTGTCCTCATGGAGGGAATTCTGCAGAGAGCCAGCTCCTGTGCCAAGGGAAAGGCAGGATGTCAGAGCAGGCCTTCACATCCAGGCTGTGCTGGGAGCTGCAGTCATCACCCCTTCGTGTCTGGGTGTGCAGCCTGGTCTGCAGGTTCCTTTTTCATGGGAACCAGAGTCAGCTTCTGATCTACCCCACTGTAACTCTGAATGATTCTTGTGTCCAAAGATCCTGAGCAAGGCTGGAGAGGGAAGCAGGAAACCTCACCCACTGTCCTGGGTGGCTCATGGTGTGGACAACCCTGGAAAGCAAGGCACGGGGCTGGGTTTAACACACGCTGCAGAGTTTGCCCCATCCCATTCCCTGACTGCAGGAGCAATCCCTGTCCTCCTCACTGATGTTGGGATGGTTATGGTCAACATTAGGGGAAAAAGCATGGGAGAGGTGGGTGACCTGCCTTGGCTCTGGTGACAGAACTACGCACCCTGTCCTGCACTCTGTCCCTCCCTGCTCTGTTCCAGCAACTCTGGATTCTGCTCTGCCCTTCCCTTGCCCATGCTGAGGTGCAGAGGCAGCCCTGTGTACGTGGAAATATTAATCCGTAGGTTTTCCAGAGCTGAAGGAGCAGAGAGTGGCACAGCGGGAGCACTTGGAAGCAGACGGTGCTGCTGCACGGCAGTCTATGCCCAAATGCTCCATATCATATCGTACAGCATATGTCTAGAGACAGGCCAACAAATTTAGACCTGGAAATGGTGTATGATTGCCAGGCAGGACTTTGAGGCTGGAAGAGCTTCAAAGAAAATGGAACCCATGTGCTCTGACAGCAGCGTGGGGGTTCTTCAGGTGTTCGGTTCAGTGGGACAGACCCTCCCCTTGAGACATTACTTGGTCCTAGAAGTGCCTGAAGGTCAAACCTGGCTCAGTCACTTGCACCACTTCAGTATTTATTGGATTGGCTCAAAAGCAGAGCTTGCTTGGCTTAGCACAATACAAGTACCACAGAATCATGGAATATCCTGAGCTGGAAGGGACCCAGAAGGACTGTAGAGTTCATCTCCTGGCCCTGCACAGGACAGCCCCAAGAATCACACCATGATTCTCATGTATGTCCATCTACTTTTCCATATGGCTCTTTTTGTCTCTCCCTACTCTCTCTGCAGCTTTTCCCAGTCATTGCCCAGAAACTGCCCTGAGACTGTGGAAAATGCTGTTGCCATCAGATCTTACTGTGGTCAATGGCACGTGGCCTGGAGCATAAAGGGAGTCTCCCATGGAGACTGGTTCCCTGGAGAGCCAGTGCTCTGCCCCTCCTGGCTCCCTGCATGAGTCCTCAGGCAGAAATGCCACCACCCTCTGCTGCCACACACCCTTGTCCCCACGGTGGCAACCCTCGAGTGTAACCCAGCCCATGAGCAGCTTGGGGGTGGTGTTTGGTGGCCTGAATGGCTTGTACTGGCCTCAGAAGTGACGTGGATTGTGGTGTGACCTGCCCCAGGGGGTACTGCTGCCCCTCCTCGTCAGGCAGGTGCTGTCACAGGGCTCCTGCAGCTCCCAGGGCTGCACCACCAGCAGAGCAGTGCCTGGGCATGCCCCAGTCACGTCTGTCTGCAGGAAGGTCAGTTGCAGTGGGATCAAGGAACCTCATCCCAGCTTCCCTCTGCACTTCCCATCCCATTTCTCGGTGGGATCTCCTCCCACGTCCCACCCTAAGCGCCCCTGGCAGCACCACCTGCCTGGTCTCCCATCCCTCACTTCCAGCACAGCAGGGAGCCTTGGGGCTCTCCCTTGCCCTCCTTCTCTTCCAGGAGCCAGGTGAAACCCAGTAGTTTTTAGGATCTGTGTTGGCAGAGAAGAGCGAGCAGATGGTGCCCCAAAATCCCCACGCCCCGGAGAGTGAGCTAGTGATCATTTCTGAAGCTCTCGAGATCTATTTTTTTCCCAGACCCTGCTGAGCCTGGCAAGGACTGTAACTGCAGCTTGGACTGGCTGGAGAGGGCAATACCCGGATGGGCTCCTCGCCTTTCAGGCTGTAATTGGGCCCTGGCGATACAAAGCACAAAGCTCTTTCCTTCCTGTTTGCCGGGCTCCCTCCGTGAAACCTTCCCCTGCCTGTGCTGGAAAATATGTAAATACCAGGGCACGGGAGAATTGCTCCCTCGTGCCTGCACCACGTCTGAAATACCCATTAAAAATATATGTTCCAAAAAGAGCACCTCTGCACCGAGCACAGACTCTGCTGGCAGTGGGGGGCTGTTTGAAGGGAGCAGGAGGGAGCGGATCAAAGGGAGAAGGGACGGCGCGGCTGTCCCAGCTAAATTAGCAGCAGGGATGGGGGGTTTTGGAGGCTCCACAGGATCAATAGGACTATCTGGAAATGCCTGGCAGTCACGCAGGAGGGTTGGAATTCAGCAGCGGGGTCTGCAGTGCTGTGCTGCGGCTCGGCTGGCTGTGCCAAGCCTGGGGAGGGATGCACGGAGCCAGGGAAGGGGGATGAGAGGAGGGAGGAAAGGGGCTGCTGGGGCACAGGCTCACGCTGCAATGAGCAGGTCTAATGAAGAGCCTTGAGGACATTCACACTCCCCGGTTCCCCAGCACCAGTGGGATGGGGCTCTGGTGGTGTCACCTCCCTGCCCGTGTCTCTGAGGTCCTGTCCCAGCTCATGGTGTGACGGGTGGAGAGAGCAGGGAGCTCACATGCAGCTTCCTGGCCCCTTCTCTGCCTCCACAGCCTTGGGGCTGGGGAGATAATTACACACAAATTTGTTGCAAAATCTCCCCTTCAGCGAGGCAGGGGCCAATACATTGTCTCAAAGACCCCATGTGATGTAGAAGCACAACCTGGCTTTTCTGGGAAACCTGGCAGCGCTCGGAGGGTCTGGGAGATGAGGGCTGGTGATGCCTCTAGTCCTGGTCTCCTCCAGAAACATCCTTGGGGATGTGCCTGGGGCTGGGGGAGCCGCTGGGCAGAGTCTCCGCTCTCCAGGCTGGGCACTGGGATCTCTCTCAGCTCCAGCCGGTGAGAAAGGGCAACCCACAGAGACATTTTCTTCTTCTTCAAAGGAATTCAGTGTTTGGCTGGAGCGTTCAAAGGAGATTTTAAAAGAGGAGATAAAAAAGAAAGTTAAAAGCTGCCCAGTGAGGGGCGGAAATGGGAACGTGGGGAGAGATCAGGGGCAGCACAGGCAGCAAAGCAATGTCAGGGCACCGGCAGAGGATGAGGAGAGCCTTCATCCCACAGCTGCCCAGCCAGGGCACCGATTCCCATCCTCCAGCATCTGCGTCCGTCGTACCCATCTGCAAGCTGGGGCTTGGCATTTCCAGAGCCCTGGAGAGCCCCGAGTTTGCGGGAGGAGTGGGGCTGGACGCCAGCGGTGGTGGGAGAGGGGAGCCACGCTCGGGGGACTGGGACCAGCAGCGTGGGAAGGGTGGGATGCAGCGGGGATGCAGAGCAAGACACCGGGAGGGAAAATGTTAATCAACCGCAGTGCCTCCCTGAAAGGAGCCAAATGTAAATGAGATAATTAAGCTATTATTTAAAGCCGGGAGACGGTGGGGACAGGCCCAGGGTGGCCGGACTGCATTTTAATCAGCTGCCTGGCTGGGGCTGGTGAGCTCGTGCTGGTGGTGCCCCTGCCTCTGCATCCCTGCCTCTGCATCCCTGCCTGGGCTGCCAGGCTCCTGGGGTACTGAGCAGCCCCTCTGTGAGCTGCTGCCACCCTGTGCCCCCTCTGCCCAGCCACTGCCATCCCATGTCCCAGGATATCCAGCCAGGCCAGGGGGCAAGGGGTCCAGGTGTGGAGGTATCTATACCTGTGTTACCACATTTCTGTGGGGTATTTTTTAGGCTGCAGGAGCCCCTCTGGTGCCTCAGTTTACCTGCTCTCACTATTTTGGATGCTAAAAACTACTAAATGAGAATAAGCAGCGGTGGTGAAGATAAATCCATGCAAGGAACACAAATGCTCCAGCAGTGCTGGCTGGACTGACCTCGAAAGGCAATGACTGGGCTTTGGGAGCCTTTTTTTCACCCTCTGGTGTGGAGTTACCATGTGACCTGAAGAAATTTAAATAATTGCCCCGTGGCTCGATTTCCCCACCTCTGGAAGCAGCACTGAGGTTTGGAGGAGCTCTCAGCACAGCGGGGAGCTCCAAGGTCACTTGTGAGCTGCCACGAGCCAGCAAATGTGGCAGGACAGGATTTTCTTCCTGCATTTCTTTGTTTTGGGCAGGAATGGAAGAGAAAAAACGCCATCCAAAGGTATCCACGACAAGGAGTGTGAAGTCACTTTGTTCCGTGTCATCGGGACCATCCCGGCTGGTGGTGGAAGATTCGGCTCCTTTCCAGAGACCTCTGAACAGCAGGGAGAAAAAGGGTGATTGTTCTCTCCTTTTCTCATATATCAACCAGGATCTAGGTGAAACAGGGTTAGTAGGGGCCAGATTCAAAGCAAATCCAAGGAGATGTCTCTTCCATGGAGGATCCTTGAGGAGAGCTCCTCTCCACAGGGCGAGCGGCTGCTCCCATTTCACACAGGAGGCGTGAGAGTTGAAATACAGCAGGAAAAAACACATGGAGAGCTCTTAAGCAGAAAGGCAGCACCTCTCTAGCTCAGAAAACCCTGCTCCACGAATATCTGGAGATCAGGGGAGCAAGGAAACGTTACACATGCCAACCACATTTGTAATCACTTCCCCAGGCACTGGGGACCAGGTCAGAGGAATGTTTTCTGCCTCTCTGCAACACAGCCCTTATCTTTCAAGGGAATTTTTGACTGTATGGTTAAATGGTAAATTAGAAGCCTGATCCAGAATGGCTGTCAGGTGCCTTACTCTTATTTAGGCACCTCATTCCTGCAATTTCCATTCCTTTGCAGAACTGGGCCCTTAAATTCTGAAGACACTTCAGAAGATGCTATCCACTATCCCACCTTAGCAAAAAGATTATCCCAGCATCCTTCCTGCTAGTCTATGACCTCTGAGCATCCTGCCAGTGATGGCAGCTGACCTGATGGCTGTTCCTGTGTCGTGTCCCTCCCGGGGCTGCCAGTGCTGGCAGCAGGGAGGCTGCGGAGGGGGTTGGCGTTTCCAAAGCACACTGCGAGGGAGCACCACGCTGACCCACCCGAGCGTGAATCCAGCCTCCCACTGCTTTATTTGCCAAAAGCAGCAGGTTTTTTTTCCCCTTCTCTCCACCCAGGCAGCCAGGCTGCAGCTGCCTCCCCTCTCCCGGGCCTGGGGTGGGACTTCAGGTGCAGTCGGACTATAAATACTTGGCACCAACACCACTGCGGTTGTGCTGCGGTTTTATTTGTAGGCTCAGCGTGTGCACGGGCAGGTGTGGCCTTTGCAGATTAGGGAATGGGTTTGCACCCTTGTCCTCCCCCTCTCCCTCCCCTCAGCTCTCAAGTGAGGTGAGTGCCATCAGCTACACCGGAGGGATATGGTCATGGAGTGTGTCCAGGGCTCGGATCGATCACGGAGCGTCTCCAGGGCTCAGATCTCAGTGGCCCAGGGCAAGATCACACAGGTTGAGCTTGGCAGCTATGCTGGAAGTGCTTTATAGCTCCAAAATCATTTGAGGAATGAAGGAAGCAAATTCCCTGTGATTTACACAGCCAATCCCAGAGTGATGAGGAGGAGTCTGGAGTCACACACGGCACAGGGGTTGCAACGCCTCGGTCAGAACTGGCCACTGGATGACATGAAGAGAAAATACAGGAGGTAAAACTTGTGGCTCTGGGGGGTTTATTTGCCACAGAGAACAATTTGCATTTCTGTTTTCTTCTGCCTGATATTCACAGGCAAGACAAAATTAGCCAAACAACCTTTCTTAGAACTCTGAGATTTACTGCCCTGTGACTCAACTTCCCCAGCTGTGATCCAGGGAGAACAATCCTTTCTTCCCAGTCAGCAGTGTGGGAAAGTTTGTGCACCTCCTCCTTCAGGCAAAGCTCTGTCCAGAGCATCCAGATGGGAAGAAACTCTGCACCTGCATGTCTTTAACCCCAATTTCAGGACTGAGTGTTTTCCAAACTGCATGCTATAGGACCAGGCAGTTGCACGTGCTGGAGACAAGAGGACATGCTGACTGGGCTGCTGCTGTGGAGAGCACAAACACAGCCTGGTGCCTTCATCCCTTGGGGCCAGCAAGGGCCCAGGACCTCATGGAATCACGAAGGTTGGAAAAGCCCTCCAAGATCATCGAGTCCAACTGCTAACCCAGCACTGCTAAGGCCACCACTAAACCATGTTCCCAGGTGCCACATCTATGCGTTTTTTGAATACTTCCAAGAATGGTGGCTCCACCATTTCCCTGGGCAGCCTGTTCCAGTGCCTGACCAGCCTTTCAGTGGAATCCAGGGTACAATCCATTCCATGCTGAAGGACACGCTGGAGAGCTCAGAGGAAGCCTTGCAGTGCCTTGATCTCTCTGCTGTGAAAGAGCCACCCAGGGTGGGCAACCCTCATTTCCAGAGGTCTCTGTGCAGGAATCTTGGGGTGACAGAGGTGGCTCCTCTCCTTGTGGTGTCTGTATTGAGCAGAGGAGGGAGGTCACCTGCCATGAATCTTGTCACCACCCTGAAGAGCTTTCCCACATCATCCCCACTGGGGTGGAAGTGCAGCTGTGAGGTGGCCAGGGCTAAGTGGGACCTGGTGACATTGCAAGACTGGAAGGGCAGAGCTTGGTGCCACAGCCTGCGGTGCTGGCGCAGCTTAGCAGGCTCCCAGCAAAGCTACTGGCACGAGTGGTCCACTCTGTGTATTCTGGGCAGTGGGCTGGTGGGGGACTTGGAGGGGGCTGATTTTACAGCCTGTGCAGCGATTCCAGGCAAAGCCATCTCAGGATCAGACAAAGTTAAATAAAAAACCGACTCAGTGCCCCAAGCACGTGTGAAGTTGTTTTCTCAAGGGTTCGTCCGAACACCGAAGTTCCCATTCTCCCAGCAGGAAGAGGAGAGGAAAAAAAAAAAAAAAAACCGGCACAAAAGCCGTCGGAGCAGCCGCTGGCTGGCGCGGGAGGGAAGGGGGCCAGGCTGGGCGCCGGGCGGTGGCAGTAATTTTCCACACGCACTGGATTAGGTGAGACTCTCAGTCAGGAGTGAATTCTGGGGCTTTTTTTTCCCCTTCTTCCCCACCTCCAGAGACCGGTGTTGGATGGGAGCCCGGGAGAGGCGAGATAAAGGTCTTCTCTATCAGCCAGCTGTTGAAAGATCTCAAATAAAGAGGCAGGCACTGCTCAGAAACCGTTCGAGGCAGCGAATGTGAAGGGTAAACTGCAGAACAGGTAGTGCTTGTTGCCTCGAGAGGCTTTTGGAGATACATTCCCTCCTGGCTGGGCAGCTCCCCTGACCTCCAGCTGCCTGGGGCTCTCCGAGTCTTGCTGAACTGCTGCCCTGGTAGGATGGCACAGCAGCTGCCTTGCCATCTAGAGCTGGGAGAGCATCATTTTGTATCCATCAGGAGGCAGGGTAACCATCCATTGGGGCGGGGAAGCTCAGACCCTCCCTCCATCCCTCCCGCAGTCCCCAGGGCCGGTGGCTGCCCCAGTGGACCTGTGGCTGAGCCGAGCTCATCTCCCAGGCTCGCTGGCAGCCAGCCCTGCCCCTGCCCTTGCTGTCCCCCGTGTGTCAGTGTGGACACAGCCCGGAGCACCCCCGATTGCCCCCTCCCCAGGCTGTCCGTGCCCCTCCTGCCGGGCGCGGGTCGGGCGCGGGGCACACGGCGCGGTGCCGGCCGTGGCGTTGTTGCCACGCCGCGGTGTGTCACGACCCTAATCAGATCTCACGCTCCAGGGAGCAATTCTCCTCACCCTGGGAAAGCGTGAGACGCCTGCGCCGGGCCTCGCACGTGGCTGCCCGCCCGCGGCACGGTGCCCAGCGGGGCACGGGGGGCAGTGCCGGGGCTGCCACAGGGGCCAGCACGGGGCTCTGCCACAGGCTGGGAGGCACTGGCTGGGCCACCCAGTGTGGCCACAGGGAGCTGGCTCCCAGGAGGATTTCTTGCCTCCTCTGTGCCAGCCATCCTATCACTCACTGGTCCATCCCATCCCATCCCATCCCATCCCATCCCATCCCATCCCATCCCATCCCATCCCATCCCATCCCATCCCATCCCATCCCATCCCATCCCATCCCATCCCATCCCATCCCATCCCATCCCTTTTTTATCTCATCCCATCCTATCACCTGTTTTATCCTGTCTAATTCTGTCTAATCCCCTCTGTTTTATTCCTTTCCATGCCATGCCATCCTATCCCATCTCATTCCATCCCTTCCCTTCTGTTTTATTCTGTCCCATTCTATCCCATCCCATGTTTATCCCATGCCATTCTATCCCTTCTTTTATTCTGTCTCATCTCATGCCATGTCATGCCATGTATTCCATGCCTTTTGTTTTAGCCCTTTCCAGTCATGCCATTCCATCTCTTTTATTCTGTCCCATCAATTCTTCTCTATTTTATCCCTTCCAATCCCATTCCACCCCACCCCATATTCTCTGTTTTACCCTGTTTGATCCTATACAGTCCTAATGGTCCTCTCCCATGCCGTGCCATCCCATCATCTCCTGGCCATCTCATCCCACTCTACCTGTCCTGTCCTCTCCCCAGCAATATCACTGCCACTGGCTACATCTCCCAGTGACCAGTCCTTTGCAATCCTCTGGTCCCTCAAAGTCATCTGTTTCTTTTCCATCCCAGCCCCATTCCTGATGGATGCATGGAGCTGTGCCAGGGCAGGTTTAGGCTGGATCTCAGGAAAAGGTTCTTCCCCAGAGGGTGGTTGGCACTGAACAGGCTCCCCAGAGCAGTGGGCACAGCCCTAAGGCTGCCAGAGCTCCAGGAGTGTTTGGACAACGCTCTCAGAGACAGGGTGGGATTGCTGGGGTGTCTGGGCAGGGCCAGGAGTTGGACTGGATGATCCTGGTGGGTCCCTTCCAACTCAGGACATTCCATGGTTCTATGAGCTCACTGTGAGGCACGCCCAGAGCATTCATCTGGCATGAATCTCCACACAAGGCCCTTTCTCTACAGCTCGTGTCCAACACGTCTGTCTCTTCCTTGGGTCATTTTACGTGTCCCCACCATCGAGTCATGGACAAGTGTCAGGCAGAGACTGATGTACCCCAAATCAAAGTTTTCGGGGTCTGACTGTGGACTGGTTGCAGTGGGGTCCCAGCCCTGAGGAAGGTGGTGTTGGTGCATCTTTGGGGGTTTTGCTGAAGGAAATGATACAGACCTGCCCTTGACTCAGCCATTTTAGAGCATCTCCTGAGCTCAGTGAAGCTGGAGCTAAACCTCAATTGCTTTGATCATGACAAATGGGAGCTGGGAAGCCAAATTCAGTGCAAAGTTGCTGGCTGGCTGTGGAGCTGCTGCAGTTCCTGGTTTTAGATGTGGATTTGGTGCACAGCTGGTGGCTCTGCCTCCCACACTGCTGGGACCAGGATGGTGCTCTGTGAATGCAGAGGAGCCTTGGGATGCTGGTGCTACTGGTCCTGCCTGTGTCTGCCCTCGCCTTTGTGTAAGGAGCTGGCCTGGGGGGGTGCTGAGGGTTGGTGTCTGGCACTTCTGTTGTGTTGGATGATGGCAGAGCTGGTGCTTTTGACTCATTGACTGTGTCTTCCTGGGCAGGAAGATACACCAGGGTGGGTAACTGGGGGGGTCACAGAGTTGCCATCCCGGTTTGGTGGGTGGAAGTGGATTCCCAAGTCTCTGTGAGGACATTGGTGGCCCAGGTCACCCAGATTATGGCCTCCTCAGTTATCCCTGCTGCTCCAGAAGCTCAGCCAGCTTTGTGGTGGGGTGCAAGGCAGGGGACACTGTGTGGGAGCTCCACTGAAGAACAGCCATATATGTGTTATTTAGCTCATGGTCTGAGGGAGCAGCACCCAAGTGCATGAACCTCTTCATGCACCAGCAGGAGGTCCGTGGGTCTCCTGGAGAGGCAGAGAAGCTGGAATGTCTGACTGAGGGGTGCTGGAATTTCTGGGACTGACACATGCCCAAGGAGACACCCTCAGAGGGACATCAGAACCCCCAGAGGGGCTGCAGCGTGGGGTGAGCAGCCAGCACAGGCGGGGAGTGTGGCGAGCAGGCGGTGGGATGCGGGGAGGGGGAGGCAGCCATCCATCCATCCGCTCCCTGCTCCCTCTGTGCCTCGCTCTACTTGCCGCGGTCCCCAAGCTCCCTTCCCTTCCCCTCCGCTGCCTTTTATGCAGCTCGCCCAAGGCTCCAGGGCCTGGGGATCTTTCCAGGCTTCCCCAGCTGGGGTTTGGCAGCTCTAATTTTAGGCACTTCTCAGTTTTGCTTTCTCGCCGCTCGGTTGAGGAAAAGCGCTTGTGCGGGGAGGCGAGCCTGGCCCTTCCCCACCGCTGCTGGCTTTCTCTTTGTCTCTCTCCCCAGCTCGCTCCCGCCTGGTGCCTGCTGCTCCGAGATGCTGGTGGACATTAATAAGCCCCTTTCTAATGCTGGAGCTCTTGCAGGGGTGCAGAGTGGGGATGACCATCGAGCCAGAGCCTCTCCAGACCTGCTGCTGCCCCACAGTGATGGTCTCCAGACCGTGGTGTGACACCCTGCTCCCCCATGAAAACACTTGGAAAGGCCTCCAGTCCAGGCTGAGAGGATGCAGGCTCAGAGGAAAGCCCAGCCAAGGACATCAGGATGGCCATGTTTTAACCACAGTCACCCAGCACCTTTCAGTCCCGACAAATCTGTGGGAAGGAGCTGGAGAATGCCTTTGAGGAAAGCCCAAAACTAAGCGTAGATCAAAAAAAGTGATCAGATCAATCCATGCACGGAAAACCCAGTAAGAGCTAATCCAGCCCTCAGATCCCCCCTGGCAGCCTGTTAGAGCTACTGCAGGATGTGACTCTGGACCTGGTCAGCCTGGAGCTGAGGCAGGACAGCTGGTAAGTTCTAATTCCAAATCCAAGCTAAGGATAGCCCTGTGGGACAGGGGATTTTGCCCAAAGTCCTGGTTATGCAATTTGGACACAAAAGTGGAGCATCCCCATCCTCACGCTCTCAGGGAAAGAATCTTCTTGGGAAGAGAAGGAGAATTCTTTTCTCAGAGGAAGAGAAAAATCAGGTGAGAAGGACAGAGGAGAGGTGGCAGCAGCTGGGACAGCAGGATGTGCTAGCTGGGATGGATCCTGCCTGCACGTGAGAAGCACATTGGGTTTTGTCTGGTGTATCTGATGAGCTTTCACCTTCCAATGGTGAACGACTGGGGCTGGAGCTGCCTAACTGGATTGCAAGCTGCCTGCTCCTGAAAGGGCTCTGCATCCCATTATCCATAAACCTGTTCATGGCACACGGCTAATTCAGGCAATTTCCCGCACGTTTACGCTGTCGATATAATAACCAGCCCGTCGGCCTCAGCCGGGCTGGAGCACCGTGTCACGAACAGCAATCTGCAAATCAGGCTCTGAACACTCTCCCTGCAGCCAGGCTGTGAGGCCAGGGTGGTGGGACCAGGGCGGTGGGACCACAGTGTGCTCTCCCTGCCTTTGGAGCCTCTCTGCTGCCCCTGGGGAGGTGAGCTGGCAGGATCCCTAAGGAAGCACTGCCCTGCAGGTGATAGGAAGCTTAACTGCCCCCTCCCACGCTGGCACCCTCCTTGTCACAGGTCTGCAGGACCCAAATCCAGCGTTATCAGAGGGCCACAGCGCCAGAGAGAGGGGCCCAGCTGGCTCCTCTCGCCCTCTCCGCTCCCCATCGCTCACGTGGAGCGGTGGGTGGACGCGGCTCTGGCTCTGCTTCGCTGCCAGATTATTTCTGGGCATCGCCACAGACGGACGCGGCGGGGAGCGAGGCCGTGCCGGGGGTGCCGGGGGAGGGGGGACACGGCGGTGCCGGCAGCTGGGGGCCGGGACCATTCCCGCTGTGCCTTCCCGGCATCCTTTCCCCACCGGCGGCCGCGTGGCTGCCCGGAGGGCTGGGGGAGCTGCCCGCTGACACCGCCG